TTTTTTTTGCGGATACGAAAATGTTCGCGTCCACACGCAGCGTATTCGAATCGTTTTCACTGTCCACACGTATCCGGAAATTTCTTGATCTGCCCTGATGCACGCTAGTGCCTAGTCCCTTTGACGGATAGTTTTTTTTATTGAGCATGCGCAAAATCGTGTTTACGTCAACGTATTCGAAAATTTGTGGATACGACCGTCCACACGTATATCCGTATTCGGAGCGTATTCGAAAATTTCCACTCTGGAGACAGTTTTTGAAAATTTCCGGATACGGATACAAAAATTTCCGGACACGTATGGACGCAAGCCGCATCCGCAAAATAAAATTTGCGGATACAAAAATTTCCGGATAAGTGTGGACGGGGCCTTAGTATGAAGACCAGCTTAAAAGTTAGCCATGTAATATATACTAGTTATGGTTTTGACTGGCATACAGTGGCGTAGGCAATCGAGTCGGATATTCCCCCTGCCCACACCCATAATACAGCTTGGGCTGCCTGTGGTTAAATAATAGATCAATCAAATCCCTTTGCACTTGGAAATTGAAATTTCTCTTATGTAAAACGAGTGTATTGTTTCTGCCATCTAACATGGCTGCTGTCACGTGATGGTGCAAAATTTCTATTTAACTTTTTCTATTTTCTATTCTAACTTTTACGCAGATAAAGAGATAGGTAGCTAGTTTTATGGCATTGCTAGCATGAATACCTCTTGGCAAGAGATTCAAAAAATCATCTTTGTATTGACAATGCCGCAGTCGTTTATTGTCTCATTATTAGGAGAAAATAGGGGAAGATTTGAAAAAAWTTTTTTTTTCCTTTTACTCTTTTTGGTTTTCATTCCAGAACTGCTCTGTTTATAACTAAGCTATTCATTGAGGTAAAACACCATTTCGTCGTTGGGAAATTTTTGTTGTTGTTTTGTTTTTGTTTGTTTGTTTGTTTTTTGGGTTTTTTTTTAGTTTTCAATCGCAGTGAAAAGCCACCGCGAAAGCTAAGTCGCCCTAGTCACAAGTGACTCAAAACAGTTTCTCGGATTCTATGAAAGATTGTTTCAAGAGGATGACAAAGTTTTAAGACTTTCCTAATAACAGAGAAAAAATGAGTCCCACTTTTATTTTCCCATTCCCACGAGAGACGTCCATACGATATGCTAATGCTTTCCTTCGTGTGGCGGCTCTTCGCCAGCGGTTTATTGGTGAGTCTGCTCATTAGCATACTTCGTTAACATGCAGCGACGTTCCAAACTTTGCTTTCCGCTTTAAAAAAATGAAGACTCGACAAAAACAAGAAAAGTTGAATGAAAAGTTATTCAAATCTAAATGATAAAGCAGTATGGCTCTTTTTATTTCTATAATTGCTGTGGTTTAGGCTTCACTCGGGGAACTTTTGGCTACAAAACAGAAGAACAAGTAAACACTTAGACAACAGGCAAGTTTAATTTATTCAGGTGTTATAACATTTTGTTTCTTATGAATTTCTTAATATTGTTATAAAATATTCATAATTTTACAAATGTCATTAAGAACTAACCTTTACTTATGCGCAGAACTCTACAACAAGCGCAAGTTTGGGTTGGCTCTATATCCAAAATTGTTTCTTAGTAATCAGGCCAAGTTTCATGCTTTTATCATTTAAGTAAAAGATTCTGGTCGATAACCCCATATTAACTTAACCCCCAATGCAAACTAAGTTTTCTATAAAATATTAAAACTAAARCTTATAGGATTTTATCCTTATTATATCAAGTACATGAATCTTTAATCACTGCTATATCAACTTCTATAAATAACAAATAAATATATATATGTGATTAATATTTTTCAGATATTGAATAAATTTCATACATAAATAATCAGAAATATATCAGATTTAATTATATTCTGCACAAAGAGCAATGCAGTAAAAATGAGTGGCTTACGATTTGAATGAGCATGCTTTTGACAGGAACAGGCGGGGGTTACTATCTCCACCTGGTGTTCTGGTGCATCTAGTGTTGATGTTCATCCTAGACTGAAGTGGTTTTGATGTAAGGTGGTGAACATGTTGGGTCCTGGT